GATACAGATTTTTGATAACGATAGTTTCGTATCCCGGTTAATGCTCGTGTCTTAATAACCATCATTACATGATCGTTGCATAATATACTATTCTTATTCGAAGTTCATTGTAGAAAACGCTCAGAGCAATGGAAAAATAAGAATAGGTACCTAAAAATGAAAAAAACTCGAAAAACTCTACGGTACATAGGGAGACGTGAAAGTTGCTATTGTGTTTTCATTCAACTCAGTCAAACAATTTCCAGGGAACTCAATGGACCACAACTATAAACGAAAGGAGGACTCTTTAGGAACTTTGACTCGCAATGAGAGAATAAACCAACCCACAACATATTAGGTTTCTTCAACAGTAGGTACTTACAAAGGTTATAAGGTTATGAAAGATAATGGGATTGAGAAAGATCCGGGGGTAGTTGATTTACATGCATAATTATCTGAAAAGGAATGAATATATTGCCGTTGAGTAACTTTTGTATCAGGGTCTTGACAGCAGTCAAACTAAAAATGGCTTCTGAAATCTTATTGAGTCAACGTAACTCCCTTACAATATTCAGGAATCACCATAAACCAAGGATGTCGATAAGCTAGTATGCAGACAGATCACAGCTCATAATTGGCTGTGAAGCCAGTACGCACCTCCTGATCTGGAGGAGCAGTAACACCAATGAAAGAGGTGAGCATTTACTGCAGTTTAGTATGGCAAACAATTTGAAAACATTCCAAACATAGAAAAATTCGAAAAACTCTACGGTACATAGGGAGACGTGAAAGTTGCTATTGTGTTTTCATTCAACTCAGTCAAACAATTTCCAGGGCCGTAATTTAAAAGGGAATAATTCACACAATTATCATCGAATATTACCGAAAAATCCCGAAATATAAAATTGAATTTAATTTCTCAGTATAAAGTGAACGTCTACGATTCAAAAACTACAACAAAAAAATACAGGTCCGTATTCAAAAATTCAAAGATGGGGGTGGCCTAAGTCAGATGACACTGTATAAAAGATTCATGGATATATTCTGAGAGCCCACATCAAGTGCCAGTAGCAACATGTGGACTGATACAACTAACCCAGCTAATGCCGCGCAGAGAGTTGAAGTAAAACCATCAGGCACCTGTGCAACGTCTTCGACTTGGAATACTCGTCGCAAGTTATTTCACATTATGAAAAGCAGAAATTAATTTCGTTTGGTCGATCCGACCAACTGATAGACCGGTTTCGGGGTGATTGCCCCATCATCACTACCGGGCATGGTCTCTTCAGAACGGTGTGAACCGTCTGAGTATCACGACCAAATATAATTCCAGCTATAACCGCAATAAAAGCGTGTACTTATTGAAGCTTCAATTTCAAAGCATTCCCTAATAAAATTCTGAAGCAGTTAAATCTAATCAACCAGATCTCTGAAGAATGAAACTCAAATTTTAATTTTTGTTGGAAATATGTTCATTACTATGTACGATTTCGTTTCAGATAGGCAGCGTATTAGAGTGGGAGAAACTGAAAGCCATCCTGCAAGAATTCAATCAATATCCTGATATACACAGACTGAAAATTTGGGAGAAGTTACTGGAACTACCGAACAACATCCAGCAATATAACAGTATCATTAATCACATAACGTTGGTTTCCTTTGAAGATCTCTACACCAAATACCCATTGGAAAGCAAACTCTCTATAAAGGACTTGAGGAAACTCCTAAACAACTTGGTGACTTGGTGTCCCTTTTTCGCGAATGTGGATTACCTTCCAGTATTTGCATATCCATTCGCTAAGGTTTTTCAGAACAAGCCGTTGGCGGGCTTTGAGGCAATATGTACTGTGATATGTGAGTTGGTAATGATAATTTTCATTGGGATGATCTGAACTGTTCAAAATCTTGAGTACAAGGGAAATTGCAACGTTTTTTAGACATCCCTCAAATTTTTGTTTATGTGAAAAACTAACAATACTGAAAAACAGAATTAGAGATGTTTTTCACTTCATTACAGTTCTAATCATTGCCTGCAACTTCGTTGGTGTGGACTTCAGTTTTTGGGTTTTTCCTGATTTTATAACGGCATAATTTTCTCAATTATACTTTTTTTCACTACAATTTGAAATATCAAAAATTCTTCAATAATAAGTAAGACTTCCGCTTTTTTGGAAACAAAAGTCAATAAGACAGTTATTCTGTAAGATCTTCCAATGGATGATCCAGAAAGAGGAATAAGATAAGATCAAAAAATGTGTCTGAATGTTCGTTTGTGTCAAATCTTAACTAATCAACGTATTCAAAAAACACTTGATTTTGAGATTTTCACTAAACAGTTTTACAAAAACGCTATACGTGTTTCGCCATACAATGGCTTCTTCAAGCATGTCTTTACTAACTATATTCTACATATTTAATGCTTAATATACCAAATTTCACGATTTGAAGTACCTACATTTCAAGTACCTAAGTTTTATCTGAGTTTGTAATGAATCTAATTTCCCAGTTTCCACATTTGAAAAAATATTTAGTAACGGGGAGTTATTCAATTCTAATTGATCATTCAGTAAATTACAATTCTTGAATCTATTAATTTCTAAACATGTTCTTCTGCTAATAGGTGGTTTGCAAATGTAGAATTGGTCTTTCTATTTACAAAACTACTTCTATGGTCTTTAATTCTTTGGGAAAATGTTCTTTCTGTTTGGCCAATATACAGATTTGGGCAAGAGCCACAAGTCAGCTTATACAGTGTGTAACCACGAAAACTTAACAGAGCCGTTTTTGAATATAAAAAGTAAGATTTTTAAAAAAAGCTCGGACAAGTCGATTTCTAATTAAAGGGGAACACCTTTCAGACT